ATTCAATTTCATTCAACGGTGACTAGAGTTAAAGTCTGAAACCACAACCAACAAAACATACACTAAAAATCTGATGATTAGTAACGAGATAAGCTTATATCCAATAAAAACAAAAATATACAAATATCTCGACCACTTTTCGAACTTGAACCAAACCTAATAGTGGGAAGCTGGATTTGTGAAGTCATGGAGAAGGTAGATGATGAGACTCTAGGTCAATTTGGGATGGTGCTTTGGGCAATTTGGAATGAACGCAATAATACCAAAATGTTCAACAACAAGAAAGCTGAGGAATGGGAGATCTTGCACAAAGCGATTAATTACGGGGAGGAATTCAATTCACTTCATATGAAGGAAAGCTTGAGTAGAGAAGAAGTAGCTCGTACCTGGGAACCTCCGCCGGCGGGATGGATAAAAATTAATGTGGATGCTGTTGTGCTCGTGGGGAAGGAACTAGTTTCGACGCGGTGGCTCGCGATGAGAAGGGTAACTTCTTGATGGCGGCAGTCCGGCGGGAGAGGAATCAATGGCCGCCCGAGCTTGCGGAACTCAAAGCAATTACCTTCGGACTCCAATAGGCAGATATGAATGGCTTTGATTCAGTGGTGGTGGAGACCGATTGCCAAACCACATTTCTCGCATTGCAGAAGGCAGAGCAAACGAGAACGGAGACAAGGGCTCTCGTAGTCTCGTTCGGGAAGTGAGGGAAGAGGCGGAAAGGATAGGCCCAATACGCTGGCGTTTTGCCAAGCGAGGTGCAACATGGCGGCCCATACGATGGCCCATATTAAATGTAACTGGGAGGCCCAAGATCGTTGGGTCACGAGACCACCACCAGTCTTCCTCCTTCCCATTTTGGAAAAGGAGATTATTTAAGACTACCCACAGCAAACGTGAAAAATAAGGGGAAAATGGGAAAAAGGGGGGAAATCCACACAATAGGATAGCATACAAAGGGGGGGGGAGGAAGTGGGGAAGGAAAAACCCTTCGGTAGAAGTTAAAAGAAGGAGGGGAATGGGGGCCACGCGGGTGGGAGGAGGGGAGGGGGGGGGGGGACCATTTTTGTTTTTTGTTTAAGAAAATATTTGATTGGTTTTCTGATTGATTTTTTAGAAGTTATTGGCCAACGGTCATATTCTACAACCGCCATATTTCCAACGACTATTTTTCCAACGGTCATGATTTTTTCAGCTCTATAAATAGAATTCATTCTTCACTTTCTTCCAACACTTCTCAAACTCTCTTCCTACCTTCCAAACAAAAAAATTTATTCTTCCCAAACTCTCTGTAATCATAACCATGGCTTCTTCCGGCAGCGAGCGCAATCCGAATTACACAACGCTTGAAGACCTTGTTTTATGCCAAGCTTGGATGGAAGTTTCACAAGATCCTATTATCGGTCATTATCAATCTTCACCAGCTTTCTGGATAAGAATTGGAGCTTTATATTCTGCAAATAGTTTTACGATCAATCGTACCAATGACGCCTTGAAGACTCGATGGCAGTTTATCAACCATTCATGTCAGAAGTGGTATGCGACATTGAGGGAAGCAAATGCTAATCCACCGAGCGGAACTAACCAAGTAGATGTGGTTAGTCAACTTCTACAACATCTTTATTTAATTAATGGTATAATTTTAGTTTTTTAATTTTTAATCACGTGTATTGTTTTCTAATTAATTGTTTAGACTCGTCACGCGAAAGCTATTTTCAAGGAGGACACGAAGAAAGACTGGAAGTTGGAAGAATGTTGGCAACTACTCCAAGAGTGACCAAGATTTATGAAATAATTTTATGCTCCTGTTGCACCTATCCCCCCAATGGATGGATCTCAATCGTCTATGTCAAGTGATGAACCTGATAGCCCCGGCCTTCATGCAGTTGCTGCTCCAAGAGTGCTCAACCGTCCCGAAGGTTGAGATCAACAAAAGAGAAAGAAAAGAGGAGGTGGTGAACCTGCCGGCATGAAAACTTTTCAAAGGTGTTTGACGGACATGGCGGCAAGTTCGGCAACACATGCAAGATTGGCTGTCGGTAGGGAGGATAGGGAGAAGGCGAAGGAAGCAAGGGAAAAAAGTAGGTACGAGCGAGAAATCATGCTTCATGATCTTTCTCAATTGGATCCTCAACAAAGAGCATGATACCAAATTCAAAGAGATCAAATTATGTTTGCGTACCAATCATCACCAGCTTCTACACCACCTGGAGGATCTTCCAGTAGCCCATTTGATGACACTTACACCCCCGACCAGTACCTTTAAAGAGTTGTTTGATTTATTTTTTATTTATGTTTTATTTTTAATGTGTTTGATTTAAGTATTTTTAATTTATCTTTGATGTATCCTTAATTTTTAGTGTGTTTGCTTTAAGTATTTCTCAATGTATCCTTGTTACTTTTTGTTCAATATTCAGCAACTTTCTTTATTAAAGTGCACAGCTTAAAATGGAGAATACATTGATAACAAAATGGAAAATACATTGATAACAAAAGCACAACAATAAGACATAAAGTAAACTCAACACACAATACAAATTCAAGTAATTAAAGTGCACAACTTAAAATTAGAGTCGCGGCATATTTCTACTCCCCTCCTCCTGCTCTTGTCCACAAATGCTCAACCAAATCCGCTTTCAGTGCATGATGCCCTTCACAGTTACGAATCTTATTATGCCTTATCTTGTATTCTATGAGAGTTGGAGTGTCATGATCCGGTGGATCCAATGTGACATCTGGATTAGTCTCATGTTCAAAGGCCTCCACATGTTCTTCTCCAAACTCGTTTCGTTGGTCTTCAACTATCATATTGTGTAGAATAACGCAAGTTAGCATAATCTCTCCCAATGTTTGTACATCGCAATATCGACCCGTAGCTTTAACAATGGCCCATCTTTCTTGTAAAATGCCGAAAGCTCTCTCAACATCCTTGCGGTATGACTCTTGCCATTTTGCAAACAGTTTCTTCTTCTGGTTACTAGGGTTGCTAATGATTTTCACAAATGTAGAACATTCAGGGAAAATCCCATCAGTCAAGTAGTAACATTGATTGTAAATGTTACCATTTACCATATAGCTGACTTTTCTGACTGCTTCATCGAATAATGGGGAGACTCCAAGAGTGCTTATGTCATTGTTTGATCCGGGACTTCCGAAGAAGGCATGCCAAATCCATGTGTCATATGATGCTATAGCTTCTAGGACAATTGTTGGCTTCCCCTTGTATCTAGTAAATTGTCCTTGCCACGCCATTGGACAATTTTCCCACTCCCAATGCATGTATTTGATTGTACCGATCATACCCAGAAAGCCACGCCAATTGCTGTGATGAAGAAGGCGGCGAAGATCCTCCACATTTGGTGATCGTAAGTACTCAGGACCATAGATGCAGATAATGACATTACCAAATTACGCATACACTGCAGTACAGTGGTCTCACCCATATCAAAGGTCTCATCTAAGGAGTCGGCTGGGCATCCATTTGAAAGCATCCGAAGGGAAGTGGTAAGATTTTGTTCGGGGGAGAATGACAGGCGAACCGCAGCATCTCGACCTTGTTGGAAGTAGGGGTTGTGTTGAACAACGACACTCATGACTCGATTGAACAAGGAGAGGGACATCCGAAATCTCCTTCTGAAGAACCTAGTATTGTAGGTAGGATTGGGAACGAAATACTGCTGCATCAAGTGTTGGTGTGCTTCTACCCTGTTACGCCTCACAACTTTACGTGAATGTTAACGATGTCGAGATGAGGATGCTTGCTCTTGGAACATGAAGGCTCGTGCCATCGCCATCAGCTGTTGACGATCACGGTCAAACTGACACTCATACTCCCATTGCCTAGCATCATCTTCCTGCTACCTCTCATAAGCTTCTCTATTAGGGGAACTCATGATGAAAAAGAAGTTGTGTGTGTTGAGAGAAATATGAAGTTGAGAGAATGAAGAAGGTTGAATGGTGGGATGAATGGATTGAAAAAGTTTAGCCTTCATTTATAGAAACACGAAAAGATTCTCCAGCAATAATATGACAACTGAATGAACAGTTGATTTTACCACTCAATATGATTAAAGCTTGATACAGAGTTGATTACACCACTCAATATGATTAAAGTTGGATGAACCGTTGATGACACATGTCATTCCGATTAAAGTTGGTCAAAAAGTTGATGGAACCACTCAATTTGTGAAACATGTGACGAGTCATGGTCTTCTGCAAATTATTGCGATTCGTCATTGATGACGTCATATTTAATTAGCGATAAAAAAAATTATGTCCAAATTAAAAAATATATATCAAAATGTTCGTCTTTATTAATTAATATTACCTATCTAAAAATAATGAATAAATTATCAAAATAAAGTTACCATATCAACTCTAGATTGATTTAAAAAAAAAACTCCTCAATATCATTTTTCCCCTACCACCTACCGTGCCCAAATCCTTCCTCCATCCTTTTTTCTCATTTTCCCATCCTTTTTCCCCCTTTTTCCTGTAAAAAAATTAAAATTAAAAACAAAAACATACAAATATATTGATATCTTAGCCGTTTAGGAATTCAAATTTTAGTCAATTATTTTGCAATAATAAAATGAGCAATTTCCCACAAAATAGGAGGGAAATGAGAAGCAACTCAATTTTCGGTGCAAATCATTTTTGAAACATGAAAACAACCCCAAATATTTTAGAAATATTGACTAAACTCCCTTTCTCTCCCGTCCTCCACCTTCTCCTTTTCCCTTCTTCTCCCCCACTATATAAAATAAAATCTCATCTCCATGCGAAAAACAGAAAAAACAGTAAATAACAAGAACATTCATTCTTAGCAAAAAATAGAAGCCAGAGCCGCCGAGGGGCCAATTTCCCGCCGGGGAATAAAAAGCAACAAGAAAAAAAAGCCGCCCCTACCGAGCTCTGCAAATAAAATCCTAAATTACTTCACAAATTATTAAAAAAATCAAATTTAATACAATTATTCCCACATTTCCCCCCGCTCCACCAAGATGGGCGATGACGGCGACCAGAAGAAGAAGATCGCCATCATGGGCGTCTCCTCCATCCTCCTAGTCGCCATGGTCGTCGCCGTAGCCGTCGGCGTGAACAACAACCCTAAAGACAGCGACGGCGGAGGTGACAAGGGCACGTCGACAAGCAACCAAATCTCCACCACCTCGAAAGAAGTGAAAGCCCTGTGTGCCCCGTCCGTCTACAAGGAAACATGCGAGACCAGCCTCTCGAAATCTGTGGAGAACGCCACGGACCCCAAAAAAATCGTGCAGGTAGGGTTCGAGATCGCGGTCGAATCCCTGAAAGACGCAATGAAGAACTCGACCACGATTAAAGAGGTCGCGCAGGACCCCAAGGCGAAGCGCGCCGTGGAGATCTGCGAAGATCTCATCGAGACCGCCATCGATGACCTGAGACGGTCTCTGGACGAGCTGGACAATTTTGACCCCAGCAAGGCTTACATCCACATCGACAACCTGAAGACGTGGCTCGAGGCCACCATCACATATCAGGAGGTATGTAGGGACGAGTTCGGGAACACCACGGGGACGTCAGGGGAGAAGATGAGGGAGATCCTCAAGCTCTCTGGCGAGCTCACCAGCAATGGTCTGGCCATGGTGGAAGGGTTCAGGAAGATCCTGAAGTCGTTAGACTTGAGCACGATCAACAACAACCGGAGGCTGCTGGGCACCGCCGGAACAACAGGTGCAAGCAGCAGCGCAAAAGCGCACGGTCGGAGCCAGCTGAATCATCTGGCTCTGCCACAAGAAACAGGTAAATTTTGATTAAAAAAACATAAGAAATGCCCATATGTATGCATAGGGGAAGCTTCAAAGTATCTTGAGGTGGTGATATATGGTATTTTTACCCGTACATTAAAACTCACTTCTTATTATTTGGCCAGCATAAGCATTATTAGTATTACTAAAAATGCAATTCCTGATTGAAATCATTTACATTAAAAAAAATTACACAATTAATTTGAACTTCGAGCTCCGCCGCTGCAGGAGTGGATTTGGATTTCCCGTCGTGGGTTACACCGACACAGAGGAGGCTGTTGGTCGGGACGCCGGATACCCTTAAGCCGGATATCGTTGTAGCTCAAGATGGGAGCGGTCAATTCAAGACCGTTGCCCAGGCAGTTCAAAGCATTCAGAAGAACCATAAGGTTCCTCTCATTATGCATATTAAGGCCGGCGTTTATAACGAGCAGGTCACTGTTCCCAGGTGGGCTAATGGGCTTATGATGATCGGTGACGGCCCGACCAAGACTAAGATCACCGGCAGGAGGAATTTTGCGGAAGGGACACGTACTTCCGATACTGCCACAGTTGGTAAGTATTTGTTTCTTTAACTATTAGGTCTCAATAATTGGATTGTTGCGAGAAGTTCAATTATGAGTCATACATCCTCTCAAACGAAAGATAACTCATAAAATTGAAGTTTGCCTAGTCAACAAAATATCATGTGCTTAACAAGTAGAGTAACCGAGACTCATACATAAGAATTCTAGATTAGATAACCAATTAATCACAGTAACTCGATTTATCAAAAGAGATTCAGTCATTAATCATATGCACTTATTAACATAAACACTATCTCATCAAACACTTTAACAAATGAATATATCTGAAATAATTTTTTTTTATGAAATGCATCTTAAATCACTTTCATCACTTTTTTTTTTGTTATGCAGTAATACTGGCCCCAGGGTTCATAGCAAAAGACATGGGGTTCGAGAATTCGGCTGGAGCCATCGGCCACCAAGCCGTGGCCTACCGCTCCCAATCCGACAACTCCGTCGTCTTCAACTGCCAGTTCGATGGCTACCAGGATACCCTATACCCACAATCTAACCGACAGTTCTTCCGTGATTGTGTCATCTCTGGTACCATCGACTTCATTTTTGGAGTCGCTCGCACCGTCCTCCAGAACTGCACCATGATCGTCAGGAAGCCCTTGGACAACCAACAGTGCATCGTCACCGCGGAAGGGCGGCAGGACCCGAACGGTGACTCGGCCATTGTGATCATGAATAGTCACATCCTGGGCGACCCAGCTTACTTGCCTGTCAAGGACAAGCTCAAGGCGTACCTCGGGCGCCCGTGGAAGGAGTACTCGAGGACCGTGATCATGCACACCGTGATTGATGGCATTATCGCCCCCGAAGGGTGGTTGCCGTGGCAGGGTGACTTGGGGCTCAAGACACTTTGGTATGCGGAGTTTGGGAACACGGGTCCCGGGTCGGTTCAGACGGGTCGGGTCAATTGGCCTGGAATTAAGCACATTGGGCCTGCAGAGGCTGCAAATTTCGCCCCCGGGAAGTTGTACGTGGAAGGCGATGATTGGATTACGGCTACTTCTGTGCCATACACTTCTGGGATGAATAAATAAGTATTTTTTGTTGAGGTTGTTTAATTTGTTTTTTAGTGGGGAAGTGTGGAAGTGTAAAAAAAACGAAAGACACAGTTTTGTTATTTTGTTTTTCTTTGATTTTCTCTGTGGTAATTTGACCACTGTAGGGAAATTTTCGATTGAATCATGTATAGTTATAAGTCATTCAATCAAAACGAAAAAAGTGCAGAAGAAGTTTCATTACCTACATTTTTTATGAATACCTAATTTTTTGTATACTCATTGTACTAATAGTTTTTGAATGATAAGATCATATGTGGCCCATACAAGCGAAAATGAAGCTTTTTTGTTCTAAGCCACTAAACCAAAACCAACCCTAAATATGTGTCTAAATGCTCAACCACTGAAATCTGAAGAGCGAAATCTGTTGATATTCGTTGGACGAATAAACACTTGCATAACTTCATGTTTTAGTGGTTGATAAATTTAAAAAGGGTTATAGGTAGAATATGCCCATCTACTATGACGTTTTATCAAACATGCCCTTCTACTATTTTTTACATCAAATATGCCCCTGTACTTTGAAAAAATTATCAAACATGCCCTTCTGTTAAAATTTTCATTGAAAAAATCGTCAATCGTGGTTGAACCGAGATTTAGATGACCCGACATCGGCAAATGGGAGGAAAAATGTCAGTTTTTTCCCCTGTTTTATTTCACTGGGTCTTTTCAAAGTGAAATTATTTGAATGATTTGATTATACAAAAGAACGAAAAAAATTCTAAAGTGAATTTATTATGGATATTTTAGTCATTTGTGTAGCCCAAACTAAAGTTCGGCCTTGGTTAACGGTTTTTGGATGAAAATTTTAACAAAAGGGCATGTTTGATCATTTTTACAAAGTACAGGGGCATGTTTGATGTAAAAAATAGCAGAGGGGCATGTTTGATAAAACGTCATAGTAGAGGGGCATATTATACCTATAACCCATTTAAAAAATTCCCCAAAGTGAAAATTTGTGGACGAAATAGAATTGCGGTAGTAACTATAGAGAAATATTGTGTACCTAACCATGAAAAGAAAATTTATTATTGGCAAAAGAAAATAAAATACCAATTATATCCGAGAATACCGCTACTCATAATACAAATCGGTAAACTAGTATTACAAACCAATAAATAAAAAGTATACAAATCTTAACATAAAGTATACAGACTAGAAAAATAAACATTACAAATTACAATACATACAAATTAATCATATAACATTACAAACATAATAGATAAAAATGACAAACAATAATCATAAAAAATACGGGTTAATTGCATGGTTGGTCACTGAGATTACAAAAAACGTTCAAGTTTGGTCACTAGAAATATTTAAATCCATTGATGGTACTTCAATTTACTGAAACCGTTCACGTTTGGTCACTCTCCGTCCAACTTCATTAACTTTTGCTTACGTGGCGGTCAACTTTAAAAGTTGACCGTTAAGTGAGTGATGTGGCAATTAAAAAATAAATAAAATAATAAAAATAAATATTTTATAATTTTGGGGGCCGCTGAAGATTGTTCGGCTCCTGATCCATCCCTTTCGAGGTCCACTGCTTCAGATCTTCGACCTCGCAGCCACTTCCCACCGATAGTTTCCTGTCTTCCTCCCTCTTCCCCTGTTTTAAACCGGCGGCCGCCAACCACCACCTTCGTTTGCGGCTTCATCAGACCCGCTAGTAGCACTGCTATCTCCAGGTTCACCCGCGACCCGGGCCCCATCTCCATCGGCGACGTTTTCCTCAGCGTCTCGGTGGCCATCCCGAAGGTGAAACCTTCGTCGGTGAACTCTGTCAACCGTCAGGTATGTACCGTTGATTGGTGATGTCGTCGAGGCTGACTACCGTTTTCACTCGGATCTGGAGCTCGAATCCGACGTCGTCTCCGTTTGTCCCCACTCCCAGCCACTTGAATTCCCCCCCCCCCCCCAATTCTTCCACGATTCCGGTAGAGCGATTGCATCGTGAAGGAGGATCGTGGGTTGTTGTTGAATTTGGCAGTGGAGAAGTGGGGATTATGTTGAATTAGCCGAAACCCCCTATTCCCTTCCTCTTCCCGACTGTTCTCGGCATCTTCCTCCTCAGACTCATCTTCTTCGTCGGAGCAGTTCTTCGAGATGAGTGTCGCCTTAGATCGGTTCTCAAATTCGCTCCGAATAGCGAGGCGGATGAAGAATAAGATTCGTTGCCAGCGTTGGGTTTCGATTACCGAGTGGAGAAAGGGAGTCTGAGGAGGCGAACTCGGAGAGAGGGTCGAAGTCAAAGGCGTCGTAGGTGGCGGAGGCGAACTCGCCGTACTTGAGGATCTCGGCGCGGCCGTGTAGGGAGCTTGGAGGAGATGGGCGAGTGGTTTGTAGGGGGCGGATGTCGCCTCCGCCACCGGCGTTGCTCTGTTTTTTGGCGGGGTGATTCGACTCTGTTTTTTGGCGGATGATGATTTGCAGCTGTGGTGGAGCCGTTTAAGAAGGATGATGATTTGCGGTTGTGGTGCAATTGATTGATAATGCAGGAAGCGGAGGAATTGGATATAGGAAATGGAATGTTTGATGGAAATGGAATATTTTAAAATAATAAAAATTAATATTTTAATTTTAATAATTTATGATTTTATTTTTATCTTTTTAATAGTTAGAAATGAGGTGGAAATTATAAAATATTAATTTTTATTATTTTATTAAATTTTTAATTGCCACATCACTCACTTAACAGTCAACTTTAATTTAAAGTTGACCGCCACGTAAGCAAAAGTTAACGAAATTGGACGGAGAGTGACCAAACATGAACGGTTTCAGTAAATTGAAGTATCACCAATGGATTTAAATATTTCGAGTGACCAAACTTGAACGTTTTTTGTAATCTCAATGACCAACCATGCAATTAACCCTAAAAAATACAAATCAAATTGATATAAACATTACAAACGGTAGTTACAAACATTACAAAATAGAACTACAAAATTCATCCTTTTGTCACCAGAAATTGAAGTATCACCAACTCTCTCTCTCGCAGTTGCATGACACAGGATAGTTGCATTGGGAACAAATTCCCACAATAAAAATGGAAAAGGGGGCCTCTGGAAACCCAAGGCGAAAGCCGCCGAGCGCGAGCGAAACAGGGGATGAGTGGACCCGTTTTTATTTTGTTTAAATTAATAAATAATAAATCCTGTAATTATCATCGTACCTTTCATTAAATGAGATTAATTTAAACCATTGGATGAAAATATAAATATAGGGTTGGATTAGACTTAGTCATGTGACTAAGGAGATCCCCTTAGTCACCTGATCTTATCCCATATAATTGCCTCTTTCGACCACGTCGCTATGATGTACAAATATTATATAAAAAATTTATCAATAAGTTTTACAAGACTAAATTGATGAGTTTGGGTGATATCGGTCAATATTAAATTGGTATGATGATAGGAAATTTAATATATTATTTTGATAATGATATTTTACTGATATGCTATTAGTGGAACCATATTTGTACCTAGTTCTTTAGGGGGCCGCCCCGGGCCACAACCCAGCCCTACCCGGATCCAAAACTCGTATAGCACTTGTAAATTTTGGATTTTGGGTATATATTTCAATGTTTATAGGGTTGCGGTCCAACCCTCTCTACCGCTTTTTAAATACTGCTTAGTGCTCTAACCTGTTCTGTATCCGCCGCTGCAACAAATTATACTTTGAATTTGTCGTGACTTACTCAATCCGTTAGCAATGAATGAAACATTTGTATGGCTACTTAGTGTTGTCGACACATAAATGGAACTACATTCGCACTATGGTGGTTCAGAACTACCAAAGTTTGTCATCCAAATGGTACAAAATTGATATTATGTAATATAGTTCTATAGGAGTGTTGTACAAAAATGTGACACGCAAATGTAACAAAGTATAATGAATGTGGTAAAAAAATATTTGAAAATATATAAAATAAATATCATTATGTATATTGTAAAAAAATTATTTTTATGCAAAAATATATGAATTCAAAATTGGGGGTGGGGGGCGGGGTACGAACCGATAAAAAAATACACGGGGATTGGAGAAAGACGAGAAAGGGATACCAGTGGCTTGGTTGGATGAAATTTAAAAAATTAGTAAATTAGTAATAATTAAATAATTCTCTTAAATTGCGTTAGATCTGCTTAGATTTTAAGGGAAAAAACAATAAATAGAAAAAAGAAGTTGTAGAAATTGCTAAAACGTGACACCTATTTTTTCTCTGTATGCAAGAAATTTTAGAAGAGAGAAAAAAAAAATCCAGATTAAGATGTGAACAATAACACCCGCATAAGAAGCAAGAGGAAATAAAAAAGTAAAAAAAAAATTCAAAAAACAAAAACTACCATTCCCAATAAAAAGGTTAAAAAAATCCAATCACAAATTTTAAAAAAGAATACGTACACATCAAGATAGGCAAGACAACGACAGTGATGATCACTAGAAGAAGATGACGAAGAAACTAAAAACAATAACATTCAGGTAAAGAGCAAGAGTAGTCAAGGGACCAATTTCTCACCCAATAAATTAAAAAAAACACCCCAAATACAAACCCTAATCACACATTTTAACAGAACAAACGAATTTATTCAAATTCATACCACATTTCCCCCTCTTCGTCAAGATGAGCGACGACGACAACAACAGTTACCGAAAGAAGATGACCAAGAAGATGTTCATGATGGCCATCTCCTCTGTCCTCCTTGTTGCCATGGGGTTCGTCGCAGGTGTTGCTTACAGCAACACCAACAACCGCTCTAAAGAAACCGACATCTCCACAACCAGTCGAGTCGTCCCAGCTGCGCCAGCTGGGCCGGTGCCACAGATCATACAAGACCTATGCAACTCATCCCTCATCAAGGATAACTGCATGACCAACATCATGAAATACTCGGGTAACATAACAGACCCTAAAGAGCTGGTCAAGCTAGCGGTGCAGTTAGCATCAAAGTCTTTAGAAATCGCATTGGAGGACTCCGAGCCCCTGAAGGCGACCACAATAGACCCCATGGCGAAACGAGGCCTCGAGATCTGCGACATGAAGATCCATACCGCCATGAACGACCTAAACCGGTCTGTGGCCGAGATCGACAAGTTCGACCCCGCCACGGGGGACAAGTCCATCGACAACCTGAAGACCTGGCTCGAGGCCACCCTCACGTTTCAGGAGGTATGCGTCGACGCGTTTGCCAACACCACGGGCCCCGACGGGCACAAGATGAGGGAGATCCTGACACTATCTGGCATGGCGGCCTGCAACTGTCTGGCCATGGTCGACGGATGGACAAGGATTATGCAGAAGACCAACCCCACTGCAGCTGCACCGCACCGGAGGCTGCTCGGTGGCGGAGCGTCAACGGGTACAAATGATTTTCCCGGGTGGGTCACGCCGACGCAGAGGAAGCTGTTGGCCTCTGCGCCGGCTGACATCAAACCAGACATTACTGTGGCTCAGGATGGGAGCGGGCAGTTCAAAACTATTAATGATGCCATCAAGAGCATCGGAGCGAACTATAAAGTCCCTTTTGTGATCTATATTAAGACGGGGGTTTATAATGAGCAAGTCATTATTCGTAACGAGCTTGTTGGTATCATGTTTATCGGGGACGGCCCGGACAAGACTAGGGTCACTGGAAACAAGAATTATAGGGATGGGTTTCAAACTCAAGATACCCCCACAGTTGGTAAGTATTTGATTTTCTTTATGATTTCAACCAAATTTACCACCTATTACACTATGAATCTAGTGTGCAACACTTTCAAAATTGTTTGATCCCAATAGCTTAAAAAAAATTGCATCAATCCGTTGTGCTTTGTACTAGAAATCATTTTAACATTGGAACCATTAAATTTGTATTTAAATTTGTGATACAGAAAGCCTAGTTTGACCTAGTAAAGATTTCATGTTCAAATTTATTTTTGCTCATTATCAAAACAAGATGTATCATAAAGGTATGGATCTCTCCTCCAACTGAAATTTCTTCTCCATCTTCTTAGGTATCTTAGAATTACATTATCATCCTAACCTTCGTACTATGCTCTTTTAATTAACACACATTTTATGAACCCTATGCGCAGCGATATTGGCACCAGGGTTCATAGCCAAAGACATGGGATTCGAGAACACTGCTGGACCAGAGGGTTTCCAGGCCGTTGCCTTTCTCACGCAATCTGATTACTCTGTTTACTACAATTGTCAATTTGACGGCTACCAAGACACCTTGTGTCCTCTGGCCTATCGTCAGTTCTATCGCGATTGTGTCATCTCCGGTACCATTGACTTTATCTTTGGTGTAGCTCGCACCGTTCTCCAGAACTGCACCATAATCGTTAGGAAGCCAATGCTTAATCAGGAAAACATCATAACCGCAGAGGGGCGCCAGGACCCAAACGGTGTGTCAGCCATTGTGATCATGAACAGTAAGATTGTGGGCGCACCGGAGTACTTGGCCGTCAAGGACCAAATCCCAACATACTTGGGCCGCCCTTGGAAGGTGTACTCGAGAACCGTGATCATGCACACTGAAATTGACGACATAATCACCCCCTCAGGGTGGGCCCAGTGGGAAGGAGACGCAGGCCTTACGACATCATACTACGCAGAGTTTGAGAACACCGGCCCTGGGTCAAACCAGAAGGGCCGAGCCACTTGGCCAGGGATTAAGCACATTCAGGCTCAAGAGGCCGAGAATTTTACTCCGGCCAAGCTATACGTGGAAGGTGATGATTGGATCAAGGCTACTGGTGTGCCCTACATTGCTGGGATGAGTTAACTAATAACCAATTTTGAGCAATACATTATATTTTATTTTTATTTTGGTGGGAGAGGGAGGTAAGTGTAAAATAGAGTAAGGGAGGAATTTTTCTTATTTTTATAACTTACAAAAACAATTACGTTGATCATCGTCTTGGAAAAAGCATCGGTCGGACCATGTACATCCAATCAAAGAAAAGGAGCGTCGAGTATTTTTACTAAATTGTATATGTTGCAACTCGATTTATCAACTTTCTTTTTTCTTTGTTACTAATAAATTTTGTATTGGTTATTTACTTATTTGTCACTAACTTTTCACATGTATTGCACTATTGATCATGTTCGTGCACTTCCATTAAATGTGTCATAAATGTCAATTAACTATAATCATTAACTATTAAGTGGATGATGTATCAATTAAAAATATAATAAATAATAAAAATAATTCAATTTTAATGGTTTGTGTTTGTGTCCGGATACTTTGGAGCCCAACTCCCCACCAGCTCTATCCCAGCTCTATGAAACCTTGACACCGAACCTGCACAACGTACACGGAGGAGGGCGTCTGGTCCCGTTAGTCCTCCGACAATCAAGTCAATTTGGATTTTAGAGAGAGAAGTGTCAAGCTCTAGTTTTTAGTGAGAGAATCCAACCTGGTGTAAATGCCACCTACCGGCACTATTTATACTCACCCAACCCTGAACCAGGCTTCATCAACCCAGTTCCACATCAGCACTACATTTAATACTTTGTACCTCTGTCAGACTGGGAGCCCCGACCAACCTGCCAGGCCTCTGACAGGTACAAGGCGCCCAAGCCGTACTCTCTTGGAACCTTCCGAACATTGTCTCCTAGTTTCTCCATATTTACCCCTGGGCCTGGCCCCGCGAACAAACCCGCGGACTGGATCCACGAAGCATCCTCTTCTTCCTTATTGGGCCGTCTTGGGCCTGACTTTGGGCCTATCTTCATAATCCCCCCAACAGTTTGTGTAAACATCGAGATATATACATGTTGAGAACACTCTCTCATCCACTCTCTAAACACAAGGATTGTTTAGCTCCACATAGAGACAGAGAACAAAATTGTGACTGAAGACATCGACGACAGACTTCTATCCCACGAAACTCAACTAAAGGGTTTAAACTAAGGAGTGAATGATCGTGGTTACCCATATGTGAAGATACCATGATCAGAAAATCGATGTCTACAATTGAACCGCTAGACACACTATCTGGAGTTTTCTCGCTAGTTTTAATGCTTACGTCATTTTTGGATCATTAGATCTTATTCCAACTTGATCTATGACAACTTCTTACTTCTTGGAGTGCAAGTCACATCTGGAAGGTTCTAGAAGAGCGGAGATCAGGGTGGCGGGTTGGATTTTCTTTCCTCTTTTTTGGTCTGTTTGTGCTTAAACTTGGTTAACATGCTTCTCCTTGTCTCCTTACTCTCCGTATGAAATTTGGGCTCAATTGGACGACGGCGAGCTAGGCCATTTTAGGTTTCTCCCTTTTAGGCTCATGATTTTGCTCCATTCTAGTCAACGACAAACTTCACTACAAAATTCGTACTAAATCTACACAATAAATAAACGCCAAATGAAAAAACTTGAAGCCTCATTTCAAATTTCCTGCATCCAGAGTGAAAGTAGGAAGGACATTTTGGTCTTCACAATTACTTTTTTTTATTCATTAAAAAGACACTTACTAGGATTCGAACCATGACCACTTTAAAGAAAAGCAAAGATCATAACCAATCACACTAAGTACATTTGTTGTTTCTTTTTAAATTAAAAACATATAATTGCAGAGAGAAAAAAACCTTTCCCTCATTTCAAATTCCCTGCTCCAGGAGCGTTTGTAGGAAGGGTAGAATAGGGACTATTAATTTTTTTTCTTTTTCCTTTATGGAACAGACTAACTTACCGTACACATGCGGATTTAAACGGGTCCAAGAGTGTCAATTTGTTTTCTTTAAGTCATTTTATTTCTCCGTGGTGGTAAAATATATATGAAAAGACAAAAACAATACTCCTTTTTATTGCTAAAAGAAAAAATTTAAAAATAAACTAATGCATTGATTCTAATGGGCTAACCGCTAATCGTAAAATAAAAGAGTTGAATGGGCCTGACCTACACGGGATTTGCCCATCAAGTAAAACAAATGAACATCATGGGTTTGCCATTCTAAAACAAGCTATTTTCTCCAGCATAATATATATTATGCTATTATTTTATATCTTAGTGGCTAAAATATAATGTATTTTAAATTTATTCAATGGTTCAACCTCGACCAACCCAATTAGTCCAATTTTTATCATTTTAAATATATATTATGTAATTATTTGATATCATAATGATTAAATTATAGTGTATATTATAGGTAATCGTTTGGTATTTGTTAGTAAAAAACTAAACGGAAAGATCTATTTGGTTATTTTTAACATTAAAACGATCCTAAACATTTTTCAGTTTCCTTTCGAAATTCTATAGTTTTATTCCCGAATCAGTGATGTGCAAATGGCGAATTGCAGTCATCTCTTTTCTTTCATTATTTTTTATTTAAAATAGAAAGTTTAAATGTAAAGAATAATTAGAGTTTGGCATGGGTCGGTCAAACATGCTGAATTTCAAGTTTTGGCCCGTTTTGATCAAGTCTAATTTATAGTCACATGGTTCCCTGATACCCGATAAAAATCTTATTCCAAACCAGTTTGGCAGGTGAGTCCGTGTTTACCACCATTTTCTAGGGATACAGGAAAAGTGGTTCCTATCCAAAATCGTGTTGTTCATTCTTGATTTCTTTAGATTTTATCATGGCTAGGCAAAAAACCAGAAAGCACAATGATGACAAGATGAAAGTTTTATAAAGCAAATTAATCGGCCAACGGGCCGAGTAAAAGCTAGCAACGATTGTGAGATGCTCATTTCCCGAAAACCGGCGGGATAGACGATTTTTTATTCGATTTTCTGGAATTCGGTTTCTATTAAACTTACTCCACCTCATCATATTATCAGAAACAATATTGTTTCACAAGGTAACAGATACTTGATTTTGGTTCATAAGGCTGATTTTTGATTCGTTGCATCATTCATGTATCTTTCCTACTAAAATTCACTATTTTTATCACGTGTTTGCAAAAAAGAAAACTATACAACAATAAGCTATACACCCCATTACATTATCAAATTTCATACCTCACCTTCCTCCGGCCAAATGGTCGGGGCCACGCTAGTGTACTTGTATATGCAAATCATGAAAAACTACCCAAAATGGCACTAAAAAGTACAAAAACGTACTTATGATTCATGAACAGCACTTTGGACAATAATTCATATTTTGGTAGCAAACAACTAAAAAGCACCAGTTAGAGATGGATATAGTTGAAAGGAGGTAGAAAAAAAAACATTTTTTAATTGTCATAAACTATTATCGGGCTAGCAAATCTAAGCGATTTAATTAAGAATTACTAACAAAGACTAGTCAAATCAAGAATTTGAGCCATTGCAATTAAGGAAAAAATTTGGATTCTTAAGTGAGATCGAAAGCTCACTTGGATAATGAATCCTTTAGCTATAAGCTAGATTGATGTAACACTAGGCTTCTTAACTTAATTTCCACAAGGAGATTCCTCAAGTAGCTATGGCTCACGTTTAATGCAATCAAAGCCCTTTGTAACTGGCTAATTAATTGAGAGAAATGTCTCTTCACCCAAACCAACCAAACAAACACCGTTGAATCTCTTTAAATTGGTTCATCCACTTCCAATTTAACCAATGCATGATCAATTGACTGAAGTAGATTTCTATCCTTTCGGTCAAAAATCAATTCAGCCAAGATTGATCAAAGATTAGGCAAACATGATAGACCATCAATTAGGTATTGAATAGGTCAATTGTAAAAGTCTGGGTTCACAATCAATCATAAAAATCTAACTACATCTAGCTAGGGTTCCTCATATTAGTTGAAAGAGAGGGCTAATTAGCTCAGTGAGAGGGAAGTGAAATAAATAAGAGGAAGAAATTAGTAGCATCATGCTTGGAATGTTCTTCTCCTCTTCAATCTCCACTTCTTAAATCTTGAGCTCTTTGGACTTAAATTGATGAAAAAACTCATCCAAGGATGTTGTTAGTCAAACTCTCTCTACAACCTAGAGTTTTCTCTTCAAAAGTAGCACTCTCTTATCAAAATCATGATAGGTAGATATCACCAGTTATTTATGTTCCTAACAAGCGTGAACGATTACAGTTTTACGCCTTTTTGAGACGACTGATTTATTCTCATGATTCGTTGCATGTGTTTTTTCATCCGATGACCAAACAATTACTTATAAGAATGATGCTTACCGCTATCCTTACAATAGTCATATAGATCACATTGCTTGTTGTAGGAACTAGGAATAGTTCAGCGTTTTCTCAACTTGGAATATTAAGTCAATAATTAGTTACGTGGTTCTTGTAATATAAACGAATTTTCTAGTTTGACTTTTGAAAAAAATCCGTACATAAACATCATAGGAAGAGTCTTGTCATTTTTTGAAATTGATGTTGGCCACTAACTTAAATCATTTTTCAGACTAGTGGTCTTGCTTTTTCACCCTAGACTTAGACAAAACTCGTGTTTGTATGAATATTTTTCTGCCAATATTCCTCGAGACTTTAACGTTCTTTCTTCCAATTTTATCGGATGTTCCTCAATGGTCAAAATTTTAACGTGTTTTAATTCTGAATAAAATGTCTCCACAAACCGAATCCTAATTACCCGAGAAACCATTCAAATTTAAACCTTCTCCCTCATCCAAATGTAATTATCCTCCATATTTAGTAATCACCCCCTAATTACCAAAAACGAGTTGACCAACTTCACCACCTTCTCCCTCCCATATAAACAAATCACTTCAAATTCTCAATCCAATCCAGAGTTTAATAAAATTATCGAGGGCCAACACTACAGATTTCTCCTCTCTTCAATAAGGCCCTCAGGCTCTGGGTTCTTCCGATCCAAGCCTGATCAATAGTAAATAACAATAATTAAAAAAAAGTGTAACAACATTATTCACTAAGTAGCAATAAAAAATCTCTTACCGTGACATAATTGTTCAAATTGTAAGAGTTACTTACACAAATTAACTAGCTAGGTTATACTTTTGCACCATGGGGGACTCCGACGACAGCAGCAAGAGGAAGATCGCCGTCCTCGGCGTCTCGTCCTTGCTCCTCGTCGCCATGGTGGTCGCCGTCACCGTGGGCGTCAACGAGAAAGTCGACGAACGCGGCGGCGGTGGCACCACCGCCGAGTTGTCCACGTCATCCAAGGAAGTGACCGCCCTCTGCCAGCCGTCCACCTACAAGGACACGTGCGAGAAGAGCCTGGCCAAGTCCGCGGAGAACACCACGGACCCCAAGAAGCTGGTCCAGGTAGGGTTCGAGCTCGCGGCGGACTCCCTCAGGGAGTCCATAAAAAATTCGGACACCCTGAAGGAGATCGCCAAAGACCCCATGGCGAAGCGCGGTCTCGAGATCTGCGACGAGCTGCTCGAGACCGCCATCGAGGATCTCGGGAGGTCCGTCGACGAGCTGGGCTCGTTCGACATGACGAAAGCCTATGTCCACCTCGACAACTTGAAAACATGGCTCGAGGCCACGGTCACGTTCCAGGAGAACTGCAAGGACGGGTTCGTGAATACCACGGGCCCAGCCGGGGACAAGATGAGGGAGATCCTCAAGACGTCGGAAGAGCTCACCAGCAATGGGCTCGCCATGGTTGATGGGCTGGCTAAGATCTTCGCGTCGTTCAAGTTTGGTGGGTCCCGCAGGCTGATGGAGGCCCAATCCGAGTTCCCTTCGTGGGTCAGCCCGGCCCAGAGGAGGCTCTTGGCCGCCGATCCGGCTGGCGTCCAGGCCGATATGGTTGTGGCCCAAGATGGAAGCGGGCAGTACAAGACTATCATGCAGGCCATCAGCGCCATCCCAAAGCAGCACAAGATCCCTTTCATCATTAGGGTGAAGGAAGGAATTTACAAGGAGACAGTCTTGATCCCCAAATCTGCTGAAGGCATTGTGATGATCGGCGATGGCCAAACCAAAACTCGTGTCACCGGTAACAAAAACTTCGCCGCCGGTGTCCAAACCTCTGACACTGCCACCTTCGGTAAAATTTCCACCAACTCTCTTTCTCTCTCTCTTCAACTTTGTCCTTTCAAGATTCCATTAATACGGGAAAAAAATGTGGTAATGTTTTATCTGGTTAAGACCGAATCGAATCATACCAAATTGACACTTGGGTCGGACTATATTGGACTGGATAATCTAGTTCGGTTTGTGGTCACATGAAATTTATAAATGCTGAAGAAAAATAGACCGAATTGACATTTGGATCGGACCAAACTGGAGCGAATGCACTGTTGTTACGGTCTTTGGTCCTAAAATGCATTTCTCTACTACACCACGGTTCTCGTGAGTTTGGTCCGGTTCGAACCAGATCGGACCGTTGCACGCCCCCTAAATCCAATCATTAAAATATCCAATTAATTTAGTTGAAACCTATTTGGATTGATAAATTCATGATTTGAAAAAATCATTTTAGTATCTAAATTTTTTATATTCTATAATTTTTATATCTAAATTTTATTTTAGTGAAAAATAGTAATCATAATTAAATTTTGTTACCTAATTTTTTTATTGTGACATATTGGTACCTCAATTAAAAAAAAAAATGTCCAATGTTTAGATGGCACCGTAGAATTTATGAATTCAAACACTAATTTATTCAACTCAAAACCATCGAAATCGATCAAATCCATTTGTCACCTCTTACACGAAAACGGTTTGTCATGCCGTGCAGCTGTGGTAGCACCGAGCTTCGTAGTCCGCGACATGGGCTTCGAGAACACGGCCGGAGCGGAAGGCCACCAGGCGGTGGCCTTCCGCTCGAGGTCCGACAACTCCGTCGTCTACAACTGCGCCTTCGACGGCTACCAGGACACACTCTACGCCCAGGCCTACCGCCAGTTCTACCGCGACTGCAGCATCACGGGAACAATCGACTTCGTCTTCGGCACAGCCCGGACCGTACTCCAGAACTGCAAGCTCATCGTCCGCAAGCCGCTCCCGAATCAGGCCTGCATCGTCACCGCCGAGGGCAAGAAGGATCCCAGAGGCGACTCTGCCATCGTCCTCCAGAGCTGCCACATCTCCGCCGACCCGGCCTATTTCCCCGTCAGGCACACCAACAAGGCATACTTGGGCAGGCCGTGGAAGGAGTACTCGACAACGATTGTTATGAATTCAGTTTTGGATGACTTGATTGCTCCTGAGGGTTGGTTGCCGTGGCAGGGAGATCTCGGGTTGAATACTCTGTTTTATGCAGAGTTTGAGAACACTGGGCCGGGCGCGGCCCAGGGAGGTCGGGTCGCGTGGAAGGGGATCAAGAAGTTGGATGCGACTCAGGTTGAGAAGTTTACTCCGGGGAAGCTTTATGTTGAAGGAGATGCTTGGATTAGGGTTACGAATGTGCCCTATGTTCCTGGGTTTATGAAGTCGTGAAGGGGGGAAAAAAACAGGGGAGGAGTGTGAATAAGAGGGGTTTGATTGTTGGGGGTGGGTTAAGGCTAATTAATTTAATTGATTAATAGTGTAATTTGTAAAGTTTGATTAGCTATTATGTTGTGTTTGTATTGAAGCTAACTGAAAAAAAAAATTGTAGAACATATAAAGGAAAATAAAGTGAGAAAAAAGAGAAAAGAATTGACTGAATGAATTTCTTGACTCGTTTTCTTGTTTATGTTTTTTTTTATAATTCCTCATGATGCTTTTATTAAGTAATCAAAGTAGTATTACAATCTGCTTCTAAAAATCAAAGAAATGAAAATAGATGATTTGTTGACCCAAATTTAACGATAAGTTTCTCTCATGTCGAAGGATGTGTTTATAAGTCTCCTCCAAATACAAAAGAGCACTCGATCAGCGTATTATTCTTCCTCGTCTAGATATTCTTCCGTGTAGTTAGAGTATTGTGTAGGAATCGCTAGAGAAAGATCATGGCATTTGGTGGAACAAGTAAGACCATAACTCTCAATCACCCCTATGTCATTCTCTGGACTTTTTGCTTTCTATCTAAAAAAAATGATAGGTTGGATTAGTTGTATTTACATGTCCTTGTTCTCTCAAAGCTCCATACTTGTTGGTTTGGAGCAAGTTGCTTTGCAATACGGATACTCATAATCTTGTGTTTGTGCGTCGTGAATCGTGATCCATCTTGAAACTAAAACATGCATGAATACAGATTTTTCATTTATTACATTTTAGTACAATGAATAAGTAGACTTCGATAATTTATCGTATGAACTTTGAACATTTGAAAGATACAATGAATATTGATAGGTTATTTAAAATATTTATATATGAATATGCACGATTGAGATAATAAAATGAACCTTACAAATTAAGTTTATCAAAATAATACAAATTATAGTTGTACTAAAATAAAATTAGCACACCGTATACATGATTTTTAAAATATTTATATATGAATATGCACGATTGAGATAATAAAATGAACCTTACGAATTAAACCTATCAAAACGTAACAAATAATATTTGTTATTAAAATAAAATTAGTACACCATATACATGATTTTTAGGTTAAAATTCGTTTATGTTAATCATATACATTATAATTATAATAAAAATCTATTGAGATTTTAATAACGGTTAACATAATATTAAGTCTTTGTATTTTTATTATACCATCTTTACCCTTTTTAAATCTCTACGTGAGAAGGAAAGACCGACAAAAGAAAAGAAGATTCGGGAAGGAAACGGACGGCCATCAATGATCAAACCCTTTCCGTGTCAACTACTCAAACTAGCGAGCAAGATACACGTCATTCCTTACCCGTTTCGCCTTTGTTTTATTGGTTCTCCGCAAACGCAGTTAGGTCGGCCAATTCCCCCCTTCTATAAATCGATTCCAATCCTCTCGTTTCTCCATTCACCGATTCACAATTCAATTCAAAACTCTCTCCACAATCAAATCTTCGATTCAGAGCTTTCTTACCAGCTTCTCAAGGTAACATCCGGACCCGATTTCCCCATCTTTCTGTTCCTGTTCGTTCAGTTCTGCTTCGTTTGTGTTGAACGTTGGATCTAGGGATTGATTAGTGTTCGTTCTATCTGTTAATTAGGGCTGTTATGATGACATTCGATTTTTTGCAGTCAATTGTGATCTCTTAGATGGGAGTTCGATTTTTGTGTTATCAAATTTAGGGTTTTGGTTGGATCCTGGTAATATCGATCGCTAGTTATTGAACTAGGGTTTCTCGTCGTTGTGATTGAACAGATGCAGATCTTTGTCAAGACCTTGACGGGAAAGACCATCACTCTCGAAGTCGAGAGCAGCGATACCATCGACAACGTGAAGGCGAAGATCCAGGACAAGGAGGGAATCCCTCCGGATCAACAGAGGTTGATCTTCGCCGGCAAGCAGCTCGAGGACGGCAGGACTTTGGCCGATTACAACATCCAGAAGGAGTCGACCCTTCATCTGGTTCTCCGTCTTCGTGGAGGCATGCAGATCTTCGTCAAGACTTTGACCGGAAAGACAATTACTTTGGAGGTCGAGAGCTCCGACACCATTGACAACGTCAAGGCGAAGATCCAGGACAAGGAGGGTATTCCTCCGGATCAGCAGAGGTTAATCTTCGCTGGCAAACAGCTCGAGGATGGCAGGACCTTGGCCGACTACAATATCCAGAAGGAATCCACCCTTCACCTGGTCCTCCGTCTGAGAGGTGGTATGCAGATCTTTGTGAAGACACTGACCGGAAAGACCATTACTCTGGAGGTCGAGAGCAGTGACACTATTGACAACGTTAAGGCCAAGATCCAGGATAAGGAAGGGATCCCTCCAGATCAGCAGAGGCTTATCTTCGCCGGCAAGCAGCTCGAGGACGGCAGGACTCTGGCCGATTACAATATCCAGAAGGAGTCCACCCTTCACCTGGTTCTCCGTCTGAGAGGCGGTATGCAGATCTTTGTGAAGACACTGACTGGCAAGACCATCACTCTTGAGGTCGAGAGCTCCGACACCATTGACAACGTTAAGGCCAAGATCCAGGATAAGGAAGGGATCCCTCCAGATCAGCAGAGGCTCATCTTTGCCGGGAAACAACTTGAGGATGGGAGGACTTTGGCTGACTACAACATCCAGAAGGAATCCACCCTGCACTTGGTCCTGCGTCTAAGGGGAGGGATGCAGATTTTTGTCAAGACCTTGACTGGAAAGACCATCACCCTGGAGGTGGAGAGCAGCGACACCATTGACAATGTGAAGGCCAAGATTCAGGATAAGGAGGGTATCCCACCAGATCAGCAGAGGCTCATCTTTGCAGGAAAGCAGCTTGAGGATGGAAGAACCCTGGCGGATTACAATATCCAGAAAGAGTCTACTCTTCACTTGGTCCTGCGTCTCCGTGGTGGCTTCTAAAGTGTCTCCTCTTCCTGGTGCTGCTATGGCTGCTGCCATGACTTGCTTTTGGTTGTCCTCTGAAGGATGTTTTAGTTTCTGGTTGTCTGTGTGGTAGCCTAATGGCTCCTCAGTTTCAATTTGTTTTAGTTTGTCCAGTACTTTGTTGGCTTTGGATTGTGAACAATCTATGTTTCTGTTTGTTTAATAATGAAGTTGGGGAGTATGTTCGTCTCTATGGATGCATGTTCGCTACTTCTCTATTTATTTTCATGCTCTTGTTTGCATGCTAGGGTTTGATGGCTTCTTGGTTGGGCATCTCTACACTAAGCCATTTATGGTTTCAAACTCCGATTGTGGAAGACATCTGTCTTCTTTAATTTCTAGTAATACTGTAATACTATACTACCAGCTGACAGGCCTGTTCAGGGTAGTTTGTGCTGTAAAATCAAAATTGGTAGAGAAGTATATGGTAAAATCAAAACGAAAAATTGATAGAAAAAGTCAAGAGTTTGATAGAAACAAGTAAGCTGATAAGAACAGACTTCAGAATATCAATATTCTACAAAGTTTAAGAAACCGAACAAGAGCGAAACTACAAAAATTAATAAACTGAGTTCATTACTTCATCCGGCTTTCTTGTTTTCTGAGAAACCAATTGCTTACGCCACAACCAAAGGAAGGAGGGACCACCGATTAATTGTGAAGGAGGAACACAGCAAGTTATCAATGGCGTGATAGATTTGATCGGCCCGCAGCTACAACCGCGCCGGAGAAATCGCTGGAAGAGACTTGCGGTAGTTTCCAGCCACTTGGGTTGGGTTCATTTCTCCAGTTGCTTCACTCTTCCGCCTCCTTCCCTCTCTGCTTTCTCTTATTATAAAACTACCCACTCTGCAAGATTGAATTTTTATGCCCACCAATCTATTCTTTTGCAGGATCAAGCAATAATCCAATGGAGAATACCGCCTCCGACCCGCTGAAGTTGAACTTCACTGCTCCAGCCAAGTACTGGACCGACGCCATTCCCATCGGCAACGGCCGCCTCGGCGCCATGATCTGGGGAGGCGTTTCCAGAGAAACCCTCCAGCTCAACGGTATCCTTCCAGCTCCTTTTTCTTCCCGCCATTTTCTTTTGTTGCCTGATGTCCCGACTTCACCGTCTTCTTCTGTAGATGACACACTGTGGACTGGTGTTCCTGGAGACTACACCGACCCAAATGCTCCGGCGGCTCTGTCGGCGGTCAGAAAACTTGTCGCTAATGGTCAATTCGCTGACGCTTCTGCTGCAGCGCTCAAATTGTCAGGCAAAGGCTCTGAGGTAGCATTAATCATTCTTTCCTTATTAGTTATCTGCTTGAAAGTTGAAACCTTTGTTAGGGGTTTTGATTGTTACTTTCCTGGCTGTCAATTTGAAGGTCTATCAAGCGCTTGGGGACATAGTGCTGGAATTTGATGCTTCCCATAAGAACTACGACCCTAAAACATACCACAGGGAGCTGGATTTGGATACTGCTACGGCAACTGTGAAATATTCTGTTGGTGATGTTGGATACACAAGGCAGCATTTTGCTTCCAATCCCCACCAAGCAATCGTCACAACGGTATCTGGAAGCAAACCGGGGTCCCTATCATTCACTATTTACCTGGACAGCAAGATGAATCACAGCTCATATGTCGAGGGTCAGAATCGGATTGTACTCAAAGGAAGTTGCAGGGGCAATCCAAAGGGGATTCAGTTCACTGCTATGCTGGAGTTACAGATTGGTGGGAAAGCAGTAATAAGTGTTTTGGATGGTGGGAAGCTGAAGGTTGATGGAGCTGATTCGGCACTTTTGGTTCTGGTGGCTTCATCGTCGTTCGATGGGCCTTTCACTAGCCCTGTTGATTCTAACAAGGATCCCACTTCAGATTGCTTGAACTCATTGACTTCACTCAAGAGTTTGGGTTATGATGATCTAAGAGCACGACATGTCGAAGATTATCAGAGTCTCTTTCATCGTGTTTCGCTACAGCTTTCTAATGGTTCCACCAGTGCTTCAGGAGTATCGACGGCAGATAGGGTGCAATCCTTCCAAACTGATGAGGATCCATCCCTGGTGGAGCTTTTATTCCAGTATGGTCGATATTTGCTTATTTCTTGTTCTAGGCCTGGAACCCAGGTAGCTAATTTGCAGGGAATATGGAGCAAGGATCTGTCGCCACCATGGGAGTATGCCCTCTTTTTCTTTCTTCTTTTCCAAGTCATTGCTACTACAATTTCTCTCTGGAAGTGCAAACATTTCATTCTAGAAACCGGCTGATGTTCTTCTTTATATTGTTTGGTTAGTGGTGCTCAACATCTCAACATCAATCTACAAATGAACTACTGGCCAGCACTGTCTTGCAATCTCAAGGAATGTCAAGATCCATTGTTTGACTACCTGTCTACCATGTCGATCAATGGGAGTCGAACTGCTAAAGTAAGTACTCGGTTTTTCCAAGGATCAGTGGGCTTTTACGGCTACATGCCTTTGACATGCTTGTTTTATTAAATGAATGTTGGCAGGTGAACTATGGAGCTAAGGGGTGGGTTGCACATCAGATTAGTGACTTATGGGGAAAGACATCGCCAGACAGTGGAGACGCCGTATGGGCTATGTGGCCAATGGGTGGTGCTTGGCTTTGTACACATCTGTGGGAGCATTATAGTTACACAATGGATAAAGTAAGCCGGTCGATTCTCAATGTTTTTCAGATGGATTTTTATATTTACTGCAGCATATGTGCACTCAACAGATTTGGATTGTTCTTGCACCTTAGGAGTTCCTGAAAAACAAGGCATATCCTTTGCTGGAAGGCTGTGCAAATTTCCTACTAGACTGGTTAATTAAAGAGTCGGGAGGAACTCTGGGAACTAACCCATCAACTTCTCCTGAGCATATGTTCATTGCCCCAGATGGGAGGAAGGCTAGTGTGAGCTACTCAACAACCATGGACATGTCAATCATAAGAGAGGTGTTCTCTGCAATTGTTTCTGCTGCTGAGGTGGGGTACTGCAAACCATATATAAAATTAGTTTTGAATTTGGCACTTGTTGGGAAGCCTTTCTCACTTGTTTGTTTCCTACCAACTCCTGCCCTTCCCATGAACAGGTATTGAGAAGAAAGGACGACGAACTTATTCACAAAGTCCTTGATGCTCTACCCCAGTTACGGCCTACGAAAATTGCAAAGGAAGGTACCATAATGGAATGGGTAAGTGTGTCTAATCAATATTTCCCTTTCAGAAGCTGGGAAGCTATTAATGTTTTTTCAGTGTCTTGATGTAGAAGATATCCTATGTCCTTTTTACCCCGCAGGCCTTGGACTTCCAAGACCCAGAGCCTCAACACAGACACCTTTCTCATCTCTTTGGACTGTTCCCTGGCCATAGCATTACTCTTGAGGATGCTCCTGACCTCTGTATAGCTGCGGAAAACACCCTGAAGAAGAGAGGTATGTGTCTACCTTCCAAATTCATGATAATCATGGTACAAATAAATAAATAAATAAATAAATAAATAAGTGAGAGACTGATGACATGATTGATTAAGGCACATTTTGTGGAAGATGGAGGCTCATACTTGGGTGTATGTATCTGCATTATTTTAAGAAAAAGGTCAAAATGGGATCAATATGAGTAAATTTTATAGATGATAGAGATAAGATGGATCTAGAACGAGATGAAATGATGTGGGCAGGACCGGAAGAAGATCCATGGCTTCATATTGCTCGCGAGTCAGAGATCCGAACTGTCTTAACATGAACACAGAAAACTTTTGTCTTAGTTAACAACATACTACAAGATGTTCCCTTTACACCCATGGTTTCTAACTGAACTAAAAACTAACCTTTGATACCTACCATGTTTTTGTACTTCACAATTTATCAGGTATAGAAGGTCCAGGGTGGTCGACCGTGTGGAAAGCTGCACTGTGGGCGCATCTTCATAAATACAAGGAGGCATACCAGATGGTAAAGCATTTGTTTGTTCTGGTGGATCCTGCTCACGAAAGCAACTACGAAGGAGGACTTTACAGTAACTTGTTCACTACTCACCCACCATTCCAGATTGATGCCAACTTTGGGTAAGCTGCTAAACTCCGTTGCCCTGTAATGTGCTCTATGTTCGTGACTGATTTTGGATACCTGAGCTTTTTCCGCTTTCCAGTTTCTCTGCAGCAATCGCTGAAATGCTGGTTCAGAGCACTCCGAAGGACATGTATTTTCTCCCTGCCCTTCCTCGGGACAAGTGGCCTAATGGCTGCTTCAAAGGATTAAAAGCACGCGGAGGGGTCACAGTCAACCTGTGCTGGAAACGAGGTGATCTTCATGAAGTTGGTCTTTGGTCAACAGAAGGGGATTCTGAACTGAGATTACATTACAGGGGAAGGACAGTGAGCACAAACTTGATGTCTGGTCATGTTTACACATTCGACAATAGCTTGACGTGCATACAAACCAACCCCCTCCCATGAGTAACTCCTTGCTCAGTTGTTATAGAATAAATGATTTTGGGTCCAATTCGACCTGATAATGGTTAATACTTAATAGAGTCGAATCGATGGGGGAGGATTCGATTACTGCAGTTCACTGCGTAGTTGAGATACATACAAACCTACTGTCTGGTTGCTCACAATGTCTGCAGAACCAAAAAGCAAGCTCCATTGTTTTGAAGTTGCTTCAGTTGGGAGGCTGGACTGCAACACTGTAAGTGTAATATCTATTTACAAGTTCCACTTGAAGGCAGCTGCAAAATGAGTGATGTCTCGGGCCTATCCTTTTCTTTCTTCTGGGTTGGATGATAAGAGGGGGAGGGATTAGATACTCTTGGAAACTTTTCTGCCCTCTTTATGAACTGCTGCTATCCTGCTGGTTTGTGATCTGAACCCAGCTTGGTTACGGTAAGTGTAAGATCTGTCGTTCTAAGGTGCTTATACCGCCTGTTAGTGGAAACAGTTGTGTCATGGAATGGAAGAATTCGAGATTGGTTCCGTAATTTTGTCTATGGTTATTCCATTTGTGCATGATCATGGGGCTCTAGAAGTGGAACTTTGTTGGGTGCTCATGCCCGTTTCGGTTCTAACTGAGGGTTAATGGGGGGGTTTTGCAGAAAGGGAATTAGCGTATGCGCATGCATGATAATCTGTGACGAAAACCGGGTTAAAATAACATTTGGATATAATGCCTGGTTCTGCTTAACAGCTGCGGTAGTAGAGCTATAGTTGCAGCAAGGTGCTGATCTGAAAATGAGACGATCAAAATCCCCGGCAGAGGGTGTAGACTGTAGAGAACCCAATAGGAAAAAAAATACAATGTGGCTGCTGGGATTCGAGCCCAGGTCATCACGGCCACAACGTGATATTCTAACCACTAAACTACAGCCACTGTTGATGTTAGAAAATGAGACAGATGCATATAATAAAGAACTCTACGAAGAGATGCTCAAGCGTCTCACATTCCGCCCAAAACAAAATTAGAGAGACGCCCTTAGGCCACTACTACTTCCGCTTCCACTTCCCGCCTCAGTTTCGCTGGTTGTCCATTTGAGATTAGATGTAGACGAGCGATACGGAAATCGCGACGAGTAATCAACGGAAGTCCCCGGAGCCCAGCAACGGCGACAGGCTCAGCTCCCTGCCGGACGAAATCTTATCTCACATTCTCTCTTTCCTGCAAACCAAGTACGCCGTCGGCACCGCTGTTCTCAGTCGGCGTTGGAAAGATCTCTGGACTAGGGTTTCCAATCTCGATCTCGACGACAGCTTGGTTTACCGCCACCTGCCTCCGAACAACAATGGCGCATCAACGGAACAAATTTCAGAGGTTCGGGGGAGAAGAGCCTTGGTATTCTCCCGATTCGTCGACAGGGTTCTCAGCCGGCACAAGAATCTCGACTCGGTGAACCGTTTCCGCTTACAGGTGATGTCAGATTTACGGTTAAAGATGGAATTAGGGTATGGGTCTCTGCTTGAAGAAATAGATATTAAAATCCAGGGGAAATATGGCAGAATCAGTCGTGAATCTCAGCTTCCGGAGAGCGTCTTCAGTTTGAAGAATCTGAAAATTTTGAAGGTCGGGGGGATTTTAGTTGCGAATACAGAGGGTTCGGTTGTTCTTCCTAACCTAAAGATATTACAGCTTGTGAGAGTACCGACCAAGGACTCTGAATCATTAAGCAGGCTCATTTCTGATTGCCCCGTTCTAGAGACTGTTCATCTAGAGCTGTGCTACCCCTTGTACTTCGATGAAAAATGCATGCTTATTGCTTCATCGCCATCTTTGAAGAACTTGACTATTATCCATCATGACCGCTACACTCCCATTGGGATTGAAGCACCCAATCTAGTGCATCTTCATCTTCATCTTCATCTTCAGCCTGTCACACCCTTTACGGTGCTACGGTTTCTTGGAGGGAGTAGAGTGTTTTCATGCCTTGATTCTGCGTGGGTTGATATGTTCTGGGACCCAGATGACCCAGAGCATTGTATGATTGAGTTGCTCAACCAAATCTCCAATGCAAAGAGAATCTCTTTGTCTAACGAGACTCTTGTAAGCATCAACATGCCCTAATGTTGTCACTCTTTTTCTTCCATCATTGTTTTGAAATTAGTTGGTTAGAGCCTGAGGTTGTGTTAATCCTTTTTTTTCAGGATTTCTTATCGATTCTAGAGGATGGAGATTTTGATGATGATGGTGTTCAACTGCCTGTCTTTCCCAATTTGACACATTTGAAAATAGAAGCACCTATCTGCAGCGCCATTCTGCACGCCTTGCTGAACTCGGCGTCCAAACTACAATCTCTTGTCATTTACATTGTGAGTATTGAACTTTGAGTCTTGACCTTAACTTTTATTTGTAGCGAGTACACCTGCTCAACCTGAGTCCCGAGTCCTGACCTGTTCCTGCTCATTGTTAGAAACCAAAGCTTTCAAAAGCTATTCATATTCAACACTTATGCCTTGTGGTTATTATCCGAATCACTTGTAGCATTGGAGCAGGGATCTTTCTTTTGTCTGTCTCGTGTTGTCCCTCGCTTTAAAACCTGTTCTATCATATTTTTTCATAGCTCTTCTCCATTGACTTTTTCGTAAATATTTAGCTACAATCAAATACTATACCCATTTCGCAAATCATTTAGGGATATTAGTCTTGGCATTATTTCACCTTTTGCATAAAAAAAAGAACAAATTATTACTTATTTTAATCATATTCAGAATGTGTGAACATGTCATGATCTGCGTCTTGCATATACCAAGAACGAGTGTTGCTGTACTTGTCTGCATCGTTTCCATTTCTTACTCATCGGTCGTTATCATACCGACTACCAAGGTTTTTGCTTTAGCTACGATACCGTATTGTTTCATGATGATTTAAATGTTTTGTAACCATCAGGAAAGTCGTCCTAGTATGAGTTGGGAGTCAGAGCCTGCTTGCCTGCCTGAGTGTTTGCTGTCAAACTTGGAGGAAGTTGTGATAGCTAATTTATTAACTGGAGCTTATACGAGACTAGTAGCTTATCTACTAAAGTTTGGAGCTGTGCTGAAGAAGCTAACTGTGCAGTTGAACATGAATTTTCGTCTCGACACACCAGACCGCAAAACGCTTGCCTCTTTGTTGAAACTGCCAAGAAGATCAAGTGCATGTGATGTTCGTATCTTTCTTCACGATGGCAACGAGATCCGCTTCGATGACGATGAATAGAACTTTGACACCAATGTGTTGGCTCACGAGCTCGGATGATGAAATTGTTGTGACTAATGAGTTTCATTTGGCATCCACATTGATTCTTACCCGGTCCAATAGTATTAATTAAACTCTGCTTCATTTATTCAAGTTTTATTTTCTTTCAGGCTAAATCAATGATTTGATTTGACAACCTTGCTTATCCACTGTAATTGATAGTATGTATGGGCTTTCAGCTCTCTTTCTTTCGAGCTAAAATTTACAAGGCCCAGCCCAATTACGCAAACGACAAACAAGATGAGGCTCAAAGGAGCCGAGATTCAAGACTCAAGGAGTGAATCTGACGAGCAAGCGGGAAATTTTTTGACGAAACGTTTTGAATTCCCAATTCCCTCTGGATTCATTCACTGAGAGAATCTCCATGGCCGTTGCTCACTGAACTAGCAACCCTTTTGCTTGCATTTTCCCACGCTTCCTCGACCATTTCCCCCTACCCAATCGAAATTTCACACCAAAGTACGGGTATTGATTGCCTCGGAAGTCATTTCGCGTCCGCCGGCGTACCCAAAATCCTAGGGTTCCGAGGGTTTCACATGAAGCCGTCCCCGCGGAATGCAAAGCTCTACTCTTTGAGTTCAAAATGAGCAACCACAAAGAGGGTGCAGGCGAAATAATACATACGGTCCAGGCTGAGCGAGACTTAGGGGCTAATTGGGAGGTCGATCTTGCCAAGAAGCTCGAGGATTACTTGCTGAAGATTTGCTCTGGTGAAATTAGGGGAACCGAGGAGGACGCTGCTCATATCTCCATCAATTTCGCTGAAGGTTAGTGTTTTCGAATTGGTTTGCTGATTTTCGTACCTTTCCTTTTGGGGGGTTTTAGTTTGGGGCTAGGGTTTTCGTTTTCTCTTGATTCATGTGAGCTCTGGTGTTGAAAGATTTGGTGTTTTGTTGTGAAAAATGCAGCTGCTTTACTCCTTCAGGGTTCGGTTCAGGTGTACAGCAGGAAAGTTGAGTATTTGTACAACTTGGTTCTACATGCGTTGGACTTCCTCTCTGAGAAGAGGTGTGAATCTTTCACCATTGTTATGAAACAACGCGTGTTCTCTTCAATTGGTTTGTTTCAACGACATGTCTCGGTAATCTTGTACTTAACTACTCTTTTTTAGGCAGCAGGGACAGTCCGATGATGCTTCTGCCGAACAACCTGAGAAAACTGCTTCAAGGTCTAATAATGATGACGAAGAAGATCAATTTTGGGGCTCAGATGACATCCCAGGTATGTTTTTTTCGCATGTTAATCTATTTTCATTAAGTTATAACTGGGGAAAATAAGCTTCGACAATGGGAACTTCTGTTTTGTAGTGGAACCAAGGAATTGCTTGGAGGCTTCTACCAGTAAAGATGCTTCCTTTTACCATTTCACAAAGCCACCAGCTAATCTAGTCGTTCTTGAGGCTGATTGCTTGGACACAGGTGGCGATGGAGGGGAACTGGAGTCATATCTAGTATGACATCTCTTTGCACTTTCTTTCTTTTGTTTGTAGATATCCTGGAGCCAAACAGTCGTCTAAAGCCCCGTTCCATTTTTTTGTTTCTGATTGTTGTAGTTAGCCACCTGCGATCTCTACCGGGATTATGTCCTGTTAGATCCTTGTGATGCTCCTTCAGTAAATGACTTCTTAGATAAGGTCACTGGAAATGGTCCGGCATACAAGCCCCCCTCAGTCCGAAAAACTGGTCATTCTTCAGCAAAACGATCACGGAGGTCATCCCTGGGAAAGAACCACGATGCTGCTTTCAATTGTTCTCCTATTCCTGACTGTGGCTTGCAGGACAATAACTATGATGTGGGTCCTGGCCCTTCAAAAGAGGGTAATTTTGGAGCTGGTGATCAAGGGTTCACTATGGATGATATGGATTCACCACCTGGAAACTTGGATGACTCAGATTTAGACGATGAAGAAAATGATCCATGGAAGCCTTTGAATCCTCATGAACCTGGGAACTTAAAAGTGAAACCTTTCAAACGAGGTGATTATGCAGAAAAAATCATTTTCATTTCTTTCACATTCTTTTGACTCTACCAAAGTTAAGCAGTTTGTTACATTACTTTTGGACTTCTCTGCATTAGCAGTACCCCTAAGAAGGAATATGGGGAACTCAACAAACTCCTCAAGTCCGATATCTATTGCTGCATTATTTCCTCTCGCAAAGTTACATGGCCCAATTAGTCCCGAGTTCAAAGAAATGTGGGAAGAGAGACGAAAAAAGCTTGATCAGCTTGGGAACTCTCAATCACAATCTAACCCTTTATATGAAAAGGTTGGTTTTCTGCCCAGAGATAGCATACATCTGTAAAATCGTTACTATTATTGATTCTCACTTGACTTCCGTAATCTAGTTACGGGAATCACTTGCTGGCGGAGGGAAGAAAACTGGAAACTCCAGTGATAATGTTGAGAGTGACAATTTGGACAATGGTGATGATAATGGTGACCCTGGGTTTGATCAATCTTATGGTGAAATGCCCGAAGCTACATATATGGATGAAGATTTACCCCATCAACATAACAAGGTTTGTCTATTGACCAGCTTTTTTGGCTGGTAACTTCTAGTGACTCAACCCCTGAGAATTCCTTTTCGATTCATTCTCAGGATTTTGATGGTGGTACTAGCTTTGATACCGATGATTGCTTTGAACAAGGAGAACCAAGTTCCCAAGCAAGCTTAGAGGATCTTTGTCGCTCGCATCTAGTAAGCAGAGTTACCTTCTAATTGCATTTAGTGTATCTTTTGTATGTTGGTTATTGCTGGGGTTGTAGATGTTTAAAAATTTCTTTTTTCATCTTTGTGGTTTTCCAGGATGCGCTTCTTGCTAACATAGCTGAATCTGAGAAGCAGACAGAACTAGCTGCTCGAGTTTCATCATGGAAACAAAAAATCGAGCAGAACCTTGAAGTGCAAGTAATTTTTACTGTTCTTCCCTTTCTTGTTCTTTTGATGTTCTATACCCACTAGAATATTCCTCATTGCTGGTCAATTAAGTCACCTGAACTTACTTCAATCTCCCTAAATTGATTGTGGAAGGTTTATCTCTGATAGGATTCACGACCTCCATTTGACATCCATGTCTATGGTGATAGAATTCTTGACAAATTTTCTCTAGAATCAGAAACTGAGACCATCAAATCCTTTGCTGATATTGTGATGGGCCAAGAAAAGCATGATGTCGCCCGTTCCTTCTCTGCTATGCTGCAGCTGGTAGTTACCTGTTTCCTGATCTTCATAACCCCTTGACTTTACACTTGCATAATCCTTATGTCCTTTTGTTATGATAAATCATCCAATTATGATTATCCGATACTCAACTGATTTTCAGGTGAATGATGGAGATATTGATCTGGAGAAGAAGGCTGTTGCTGATGGGAACTCATTCTGTTACACTTCTGTGAATCCATTCCACGTTAAACTCCTCAAAAAGGATGGAAGGCAAGCCCATAGAAATTTTAAGTTCTCCAAAAAGAGAGTCAAATCACCACTCATGAAAGCACGGAACAAGGAAGGCGCGAAGAAGCTCTCTAGAGATAGATCTCCGACTCCAAAGTCACCATTAGGAAATGGATCACCCACGAACTCCAAGTTCGCTTCAAAGCTTCAGAAGAACAGCGGCAGAAGGTGCACTCCAGAGGGCAAAAGGAGAAGAAAATCGAGATTAGTCAAACCAATTGACTTGCATTCCCCCGTTTGATGCACCAATCAACTTCATGCTTGCTGGGAGCAAATTCAATCTTTCAAGCTGAATGGCTTCGAACAACAAACACAACATAAAGGTGCGAACTTTATCATCACCTTTCCACCCTATTGTAGATTGATTACTCTAGTGACATAATCCTGCGATGTCCTCTGTAATGTATTTGGGTTTAATTTAACTTATGTTTAGGGATCCACTCCAAAATCTCTGAGGGTTCTTGTAGTAACGACACTTCGCTAACTACTAGAAGCCTAGATTGAACAATGGCTTTCTTTTTCTTTACATGAGTCTGTAATAACATCAAGCTGACCATTTGACTCTCTGTTGATGACTGGAGGGTTAATGTGAGAACTGAGAATTGTGTCCAAGTTGTTTGTTAAGCTGCATTGTTTATGGCTTTGACTATTGAGTCTGAAGAAAGAATAGTAGTAGCTTGAAGTCTTCCGACCCGAGCAACCCTATTTTCAGGAGATGGCGTAGAGAAGTAGGAATCTGGAAAAAAGGGTATAGAACTATAGATATCAAATATGTCAAAAGCCATGATGACTTTCTGTTCAACTAGTGCCTGCTGCAACGACTACATAGCGCAGAGATCTTTTTATAGTTTAATAAGCATAGAATATCAGTTTGACTTTGACAAGAGGAAAGGAACCCAGTTTATGATTATGAAGCAGTTTCATCTTTCGTGTGATTTGGGTAGGGTGAGTGACTTCATTGGATTATGAGTGGAGTGGGAGCTACGTTAGCTGTCAATCCACCTGAGATCTCGAGGATGAAGATCAGTGTTAATATTACTAGATTAAATCCTTGTTTGCGGCGGTAGAGATATTGTTATATATAGTGGTTGCTTTCTGCATGTGAAACGTTGAAAATGGGATTTTGATGGTATCTGTTTTTTAAAGCTTCCTGCAAGTTTCACTGAACTATTTCAACCGCGTAGTAGTTAGTTACTGAGGTGGTAATAGTGAATAACGTCAATGATATCACACCTTTATTTAGATGGTGTTTAGTACATGTCTCGACCCCATTTGTTCCCATTACTGAGTTGGTCCAAAGGGGAGAAAGTGAAACCAAGAAAAAGAAGAGGGGAAGAGTTTTGTATTGGGGAAAACGTGTGGAGGAACGACAGATGGAGATGGGACAGACCCACCTACGTCTGTGTCTCTCCCAAATGACAAAGGGACTTTCTATTGGAAGCCATGTTAATGGAGGCTTGATTTTGATTGATTGAAAACTGATTGGTTGGTTGGTTGGGTTGGTTTCAATTTGCCAAGCTGTGGGAAGTGAGAAATCTAATCATTCCATCATCATTGATCAATGTCACCCTGTTGTTGTCCATTGTTGTTTTAGAATATGAATTGCTATGGTGGATTTGAGTCGACTGTCGAATCTTCTGGCCACTTGGGGTTGAGAGTCACTCGGTAGAGTTGGAGTGGTAATGAGTCGGGTTGGGTTGGGGTGGGTATTATTCTAATTCAATATTCAATACGTTTGGTGTTGGATACGTTATTTGTCTTGCTCATAGGGCTCATAGGGTACTATTGACCAAATGATTATAAATGTGGAGACATCATACTAATTGTTCATACCAAATTTCGCACAACACTATAAATAAACACCAACGAGTTAGTATTTAGGATAAGGAGTAAAAGTGATGTTTTAGTCTCTAGTTGCGGCCAAGTGCATATTTAGTCAAGTTGTGGTTGGACCCATACTCAACCCAACTCGGAATTGTCAGAATATGGATTTACCAATACAAATATGTGAAGTTCAAAATTTACTCGATTTGCCCTGATCATGTCGTTTTAGATAGTCATGTGTTTGGATACCACAATCAAGTCTAGTAGGGTCAATATGATACAATCTCTACATATTGTGAATAATTGAATATATTGCATGTTACAATGCTCAAATTTGAAATATGCATGTCCAATTTGGCAAACCCGCTACCCACCTAAAATGAGACATGGAATCACAATGTGATCAGTTCAGATTAGGGATTGCAAAATATTCAATTACCATAGGTATCTAACATAATATGAATCGGTGTGGTCGGGAAAAATCCTATCATTGTTATTTTGGGTGAGTTTCTTTGAACCAGACAAATAGGGTAATGGATTTGATGTGGTTTTGGTATTTTAAATATCCGCATCGAATCCAGTCAAAAATATGTAACAATTATGATTTAGATTCACTCATTTCAACATTTTGGTCATCTATATCCCGACTTATGTTGAATATACAATTGTGTCTGTGCTTATACGATGAATGTTTGGAGTTTTCTAACTAGCATTGTATTAACATATTTAACCTTTTTTTCTTTTGTTTAAGTGTGTTAAACTAACATATCAAGCCAACATCACATGTTTCATTGGGAGTACTTTAACAAGCCGACTTGAAATCATTTACAAATCGTCTTTTTAGTTTGGAACAACTTCCTCTCTTACCTCTTTCTCTTGGACCCTTGACCTTTTGACTAATTGGCCGTCGATCAAAATAATTAAATATGGGTTAAAGACACATTTGGTCATTGAGATTACAAAATCGGGACATGTTTAGTCACTAGAAAAATTTAATATCAAATCTGGTCACTAAGATTACTAAAATTGGACACATTTAGTCACTCGCCGTTAGTCTCCGTCCAACTCCGTTAATTAAGTCCGTTAAGTGCTGATGTGGCAAACAGAATTGCCTAATCAGCTGGATATAACCCAACAAAAATAAAACCCGACCCGCCACGTCATTAAAACCAACTTAACCCAACCCATGACCCGACCCAACCCCACCCAGAAAACCAAAAAACCCCATAACCCAAAAAATCTGAATCCTTCTTTTCTGATTTCTCCCTTCTTCCAATTCCCCCAAAAAAATCTAGCCCTAACCCAGCCGCCGCCTCACATCTATCGTACGCCCAGAGGTCCGGCGACACCCCCGAAACTGAACATGGAAGCTGCCGGCGGGAATCTCGATCTCAATGACACCGCCAATTCCGCTCTTGTCGATTCCTTCTGCGAGATCACCTCCTCCGCCAGGCAGGAAGCCGCTTTCTTCCTCGAGAGCCACCAATGGGATCTCGACGCCGGCGTCTCCACCAGATTCGAATGCATAGTTACATCCATCGAAGAACGCCAGCTTATTGCTCGCATCCTGGCTCCTCGACACCATCTTCTCAGGGGACATCCACCCTTCTGCAACTTCGTAGAAATCGAATACTCATATTTACCACTTCCTTTCTTCCTCGAGCAACAGAAAATGAGCATTAGAGCAAAAGCCACCAATACTAACACACCAACAGCAACTACAATCCCTAGCAATGCTGCTTCGCTGAGTCGCTTCCCCGGTTTAGACGAAGGAAGAACCAAATCTGGTGGTGTTTGTGCCTGGAATGTACCAAGCGGTTTGTGAGACTCTACCGGCCTTGGGCGGCTTCGATGGTCGAGGGCGGTCTTCGAAACCCTGCAGAAAGGTCCTCAGGGGGATCCTGGGACCTCCTCCGATGCCTAAGTTAGAGAGAGAAGTGAAGAATAAGTAAATAAGAGAGAGAATGGAGTTGGTAGAAGTTACCATCAATGTGTCCCTATGAGAGGTATTTATACTAGTTTCGGCTGGGCTATGCGCATTAAATGCTATGTCGGGCGGTCTAGAACGCCTCTGGCTTTTCCGTTGCCCCTTGTCAGACTCCGTACGTAAAAGTCGTATTGTCGGGCGGTTCTATGCCCGTACCCTTTCTGTTGTGTCGGGCGGTTCTTCTTCAATGGATGTGTCGAACCGCCTCTGGTCGGGCTCTTCTAATCGGGCCTTGCTTGTCCTTGCTTGGGCCTTGAATGCCTTTGGGCCTATGGGTCTCGTGGCTCAATGCTTGGCCTAACATTTGCCCCTTAGGCGGGAGAAGCTTTAGGTTTTCGCGTCTAATTAGTTCTTTTGCTGTCATTGAGCGGTTGAGGGCCGCCTAGCATTCAAGGCGCTTTCCGCGTGATTGCCCCTTTGCCCCTGGTCGCGGGAATATAAAGCGTCGGGCGCCTGAGGGGTAGGCTGAGGCGGTCGCCTTTGCCGTTTGCTTTTTGGCCACTTGTCGCGCCTCGGGAGCGGAGTTCTGACACCGAGAGGCAAAACGTCACCTCTGGGGGCGTGTGGTTCGAGACCTGTCGCTTCGGGATTTCAAACTTCCCTTTTCTCGCTATAAGTGCATGGGAGGAAGATTTGATCTTCTAATTTTGCTCTCGTTTTGGAAACTCTTCGTCCTCTTCCTCCTCCCCCTTTTCTGTGCGATCAGAGCTCCTTGTCGCCGACGCCTATAAATCTATCAACGCCCAAGGTAAGAGTTTGCTTTCTTTTCTCCATTTTCGCGGTGGGGGGTTTGAACTCTTGCATGTTGTGGGCTATTTCTTGGTCTGACCGATATTTCTTTGCGTTCTTGTACTCGTGCCGTCGTCCGACGCTGGTCAGCCTCGTTGAAAATGTCGGGCGGCGCTGCACCTTCCCCTTCAAGCGCTAGTGAGCGCGATGCTACCGCCGCCGGCGACGCCCCCGCCGCCGATTCTTCCCCTGTCGTCGTTGTCGACAGAGCTGCTCCGAGCTCAGTAGCGCCATTGGCGGTTCCTCCTTCGGGGAAGAAGACCGCTAGCGCCGCCGTGGCCAGTGCCACTTTACAAGGTATGAACCGCTCTTCACCCATTCGAAGCACCTCTGAGTGTTTATGGGATTTATCTGGACTAGAATTATATGTGGGGAATGCTTCTGAGTTAGGCGGTTGCCTCGTTGGGGAATGTATAGAATTAGATGATTGTTGTGCTAACACGCGCCCTGTACCAGTTGGGGTTATGGCTACGTCCTCGGCCGTGGGTGATAATTTGGGTGAGTTTGAGCGGGTAGGGTTAGATAACGTTTCGTCGGAGGAAGAGGTTGAGGTGAGCAGTGACGGAGGGCGGTCGGAAGCCGCTCCTAGTACTTCCTCCTCGTTGGAGGTGTCCGAGTCAGGTGACCAGGGACCGCCCTTGGTGGCTATTCAGGATCCCGTCTACACCGTTCTTCGGCATGCGGGAATGTGGGAAGGTGCGGCTGTACCGGAGGAGGTGTTCGAGCAGGGACCCAAGACACATGGGACGGTCTTCAAGCCTGGGCAGGTGTTGCATCGTTTGAAGACTCTCCGCCTGCCCCCGGAGTGGTTGTATGCGGCGCCCTCGGAGACTAGCCGCTCTGGGTCTTGCCCTAGCGGTTGGATACCCATTCACGTTGAGCATGTGAAGTTGGGTTTACAGTTTCCTTTGGATCCCATTTTAACTAAGGTGTTGCACTGGCTCAACTGTACCTTGGGACGCCTGTCGCCGACGATAATTTTCCATTCAGTGATGTATCGGCTTGCCTGCAACCGCATTAAGGAGGAACCCTGTTTCGAGGCGTTCCGGTTGATTTACAATATTAGGGACTCGGCCAACTGTTGGTCGATTGGTCGGCGGGAGACCGCGGTTGGTTTTGTTACAGGTGCGCCGAAGCTGGATTCCCCCTGGTATAGGGAATTCTTCTTTGCCAAGCCTTCTGGGAAATGGTATAGTGGCGATGCTGAACCGCTTACGGGCTACGCGGTTGGGTCGAAGGACGTGTGGTGTGACTCTAACTTGTTCCCTCAATCGGTGTGCGACCATGTGGACCGTATTGTAGCAGCTGTACAACTACGAGTCCGACACAGCGGTTCTGACAGTGCTTATCAGCTCGTTCGTGGCTTTTACGGTTAGTTATGTGTCCATTTGGCCTCGTTG